AAAATTTCAGATTCCCGACTTTCGTGGTAACCGCAATAATAATTTTCCCCGCCGAAACTTTCATAAAGCCAATAGCTACTAGTCAAGAGCGCGAGAACGCTGAAACTGGATTTGCGAGATCGTACTTGGGCAGGGTTGTTACTTAGCTTTCTAGATTCCGCGGTCTCGAGATAACAATTTCCCCCACCATCACGAGGCCGTATGTGTTATTCGCAAGAACGGAAAGGCTAAATTATATTTGGAAGGTCGCACGCAGGCAGGGAACAATCTCCTAAAATTTCGGCTTCATAGATTTCGTGGTTCCTGAGACAACAATTTTCCCCGTCAAAACTTTTACGGGACCGTATGTGTTACCCGTGGGCGGAGGAAGGTTGAATTTAAATTTTCTCGGCTGCACAAGGGCAGGGAACATATCCAAAAAATTTCAACTTCCACGTTTCCGTAGTTCCCGAGATAATAATTTTTCCCGCTAAAGCTTTCAGAGGCCGTACCAGCAGGCACGGGAAAGCTGAATTTAAATATGCTAGGTTAAACGTAGGCGGGAAACGCTCCCTTTGATTTTCAGCCTCTTAGATTTTGTGCTCGAGTTGAAAGTTGCGGACAAAATGCATCGGATACACAAAAACACACACAGACAAATCCGTGAAATTATGCGTTTTATGTAGCTGTTGCACAGTACAAAACGCATAAAAAAGTGGTGCCAGGAGTAGTACAGGATGCCAATATCCGTTGTTAAAAGTTTTAACTGTGGCTGAGTTATTTTTAAAAGTGCCGTAAATTGTGTAAACGTCAAAGGCGCATTAACAACAATACTTATTTGCCATCCATATTGTTTGCTAGTGAAGCAATAAAAAATAAATAGCAACGCGCACCAGACTAGCCGGTGCAATCATGAGTTTTGTGCAATTCAGCCCATCGAACGATTGACTATTGATGATTTTCACTGCTTTTACTTTAGTCTAAGCAAAATAGTTCAAACATTGGAAAACAGTTAAAAATTCCACGCACCAGCGCATGAAAGCTGAATTCGA